CTTATTAGTGATTTGATCCTCCCCAGGCGCTTTACGCACTTTGAGGTCTTTAATATGACCTTGAAGCTCTGCTGGTGTGCAATGCGAGATCTCGGGAGAAGCCGCTGATGTGCTGTGCAACTCTTCAGCTGAAAAATCTTCCGAAAAAGAATCTTCTGAGGAAGAATATTTAATGGCGGCGCCGGGATCACTGACGCCGTTGGCCCTAAAGTATCATCTGACGGATCTTACAATTTGTTGCTCCTCGTCGAGATCATTATCAAGATCATAGTTGGGGAGAACTTTCGTTCCATAGCATCAGCAAAAACCTCGACCTTGTCCGCTGTCCTGAAGACTATGCTCACAGGACCGTGGATGTGCGGGAGTTGTTCTCGCTTCCCGTTTCTGAGCGACTTCGTCACTTTCTAGAGAGGAGTACTTGAGTCAAGCATCCCCGCCAGAAAGTCGTTCCATTGCTCATTGCGAAATTCATGGAAAGCATTTCTTACTTCATGAACAAGATTCGTCGCTCTGCGAATGTCATCAGGATGATTTTCATTGATCTTCGTAATATAAAGCATAGGGGTACCTGAAAGTTCAAATAATGGATAATATCGGTAGTTTTTGCTAAACAAAGATTGGAGTATTTTCATTCATCCGTTCAATTCGTATGTGCGAGAGTAGCTGGACTTCCGGTCGGTTTGCCCAGTGTGCAATTTTCCTATGGAAGTTCAGCTTCGCACATAAATAAATAACTAGCGTATATTGAACAATAGTCAAGGAAACCACAAGCCTAAGAAAAGATAAATCAATCTGCCAAAAATAGAAAACATACAAAAAGCAGGTGATTCCATTTACAGGAGAAAACAAACGACGGAAATAAGCAAAAAACATATTTTGCTCTAGTGAGAAACGTATCATGAAGCGTGTATATTACAATAATTAGATATGGCATTGAAAGTTTCACACATCTCATATATGGGTGCTTTCAAAAATAAATTTGTGCGAGACCTGTCACAATAAAAGGTTTTAACGGTACGAGTTTGAATAGATGGGTCACATGGAACAAGTTTAGTTGAGCCACAGTCTCATTAGCATCATCTAAAGACTGCATTTGAAACCTAGATAATAACAAACTTTCAGATATACCCTGCTGAGAATATGCACCATCAAGAGAATCAATCTCAAATTAGTTATAAATTGGGTCCTAAATTGACGATGCATATTCCAATTTCGATCTAATATACAGGGTGTTTCAGTTTATTGTTGCATAACTTTAAGGTTCGATAGAACTTTTAAAATTAATGCATAAAGTCCATATAAACATGGATCGAAAAATGCTTGGCTTCCGAAATACAGGGTGTTTAAATTTACTTTCTAAAATAGTTTTTTTTAAATATTGCGAACAATATTTGATGTATAACAGTGAAAATTAGTATGCAAGGGTTTTTTGGTATGACAAAACGAACCATGGGCATAGTTCTACTGTAGCCGCTAGAGGGTGGTCAATTAGTGGACAGTTAGTTTTGTTGTCTGTTGAAACCTGAAACGTTTTTTTGCAATTGTGAATGCACGAAATTTAGTTTCTTTTACCTGTTTTTTTTTGTGTTTTATAAAAATGCCATTTTTATTCTCCAATCAAGAGTTAGCGGATATTCATCTTGTGTATGGCTTTGTAAATGGAAACGCAGCAGAAGCAGCCAGAGAATACGCACGAAGATTTCCAAACAGACGACATCCAACTCGCTCAGTATTTGTAAGAGTGCAACGCCAAATAATTGAAAATAGTTTTAGAAATCTCCAAAGGGATCAAAACATAAATGTTCGTCAGCGCAGATTTACCCGTATGATTCTGCGTGAGTTTGATAGAGATCCGACCACAAGTGTTAGGAGAGTTTCTGGTGCCTTGGGAATTTCAGCAAGCCATGTTCACCGTGTTCTTAGAAATGACCATAGACGTCCTTACCATTTGCAACCTGTGCAAGGACTACAGCCAGGGGACGGAGAACGAAGAATGACATTTTGTCAGTGGATTCTTGATAGAACTGATAATAATAGGGAGTTTTTGAGTAACGTTTTATGGACCGATGAGTCATGCTTCGCTAGACGTGGAGTGGTAAATTTTCATAATCAACATATTTGGTCGCATGAAAATCCGCATGCAGTTCGGGAAAGAAATTTTCAGGATGAATTTAGTGTGAACGTGTGGATTGGTATCTACCGTAATCGACTATTTGGACCCTACCTTTTGCCTGCAAGGTTAAATGCTGCGACCTTCTTGGAATTTTTAAAGGCTGAACATGCAAATATGTGGGATGATGTTATGTTAGATTTAAGAAGATTGGCCTGGTTCCAGCTTGATGGTTGTCCAGCTCATTATTCGAGAATAGTTAGAAACTGGCTGGACGAAAATTATCCAGAAAGATGGATCGGCCGTGGAGGACCAGTCGCCTGGCCTCCACGATCCCTTGACCTAAATTCATTAGATTTATTTGTGTGGGGATTTCTAAAAGAAAAAGTGTACCAGACTCCCGTAACCACAAGAGATATGCTAATAGACAGAATCAGGAATGCATGTGATGAAATAAGGCCTTATTTGAATAATGCTATACCACGTTTGATCATTCGTAGGTATGACTTGTGTATTGTACAATTGGGTTTACGTTTAGATTTTGTATCCTATCCAATAGCGTTTTAGTTGTAAATAATTAATTTAATTTGTTAAAAATAATATTGGAAAATTAAACAAATTAATATTTTGTTTTTTGTGTTTATTTGGAGTTAGGAATTACTGCTGTGTTTAAAAACACAATCTAAACGATCATCTTAATTACTTGTAATGCCCAAATCGAAAATGTAAAAAAAATATTATTTTCCCATAAATAATTAAAAATCGAAATATCTCAAAAACGGCTAACTATAACGAAAACTCACAGGAGAGCTTTTTAATGTTGAAAAGTGGAAAGAATCAGTATTTTTATTCAAAAAGTGAAAAATTGCGCTAAGAAAAAATTTTCGATCACTTTAATACACTACAGGTTTTGTCGTACCAAAAAACCCTTGTATACCAATTGTCACTGTTATACATCAAATATTGTTCGAAATATTTTAAAAAACTACTTTAGAAAGTAAATTTAAACACACTGTATTTCGGAAGCCACGCATTTTTCGACCCAAGTTTATATAGACTTTATGCATTAATTTTAAAACGCCCTGTATTTACAAAACAGAACACAAAACCAACAGTGACTCTGGGCTGCTGAAACTTCTGCTGTTTCTCACAATAAAACCGTACGCCCGTGAAAAATTAATTTTATGGACAAAAGCTACACCCAAATCCTTAATTGAGTTATAACGATTTTTGAAAACATCCCCAATCTTATAACTAAATTTACAAACCGACGTATTTCTGGAAAAGCTGACTACTTTAAACTTAGACGTATCAAGAAACAAATCATTCTCGTCACAGGAAGCTACTAAAGCATGAATATCCCGTTGAAGTGCAAGACAATCAGGCTCAGACTCAGTAATTTTGAATAATTTTAAATCATCCGCAACAAGGGAGTTTATTACAACTTAAATATTGCACAATGTCATCAATAAATAAGGTAAACAATAAAGGACCAAGATTTGAACCCTGAGGAATTCTAAACTTGGTTACATACTGGTACGACTTGAAGCCATTGAAAGTAACATATTGCTTCCTTTCATATAGATAACTTTGAATGTGTGCCAAAGCTGAAGAATGGAAGCCATAATGAGACAGTTTATTAAAAAGTGTGCCATGGTCCACCATATCAAAAGCTTTAGCAAAATCAGTATATTACTACATCTAGTTGACCCTGGAGGTATATTCAATATCGAACTGAGTATAGATTGTAAAATTAGTTACATGCCAAAAAGGGGACAGAGATCTATGAACTGCTGTGTAATCCTATTATGCAATATACTATCTCGAGCAATTTGGAGAAATTTGACTATACTCCCACCGCTTTATAGTAGATTTGAAAATAGGTGTCGATCTAGAAAGTTTCCAGATATAAGGAAATGTATTTGGGTGTTATAGTGAGATTGAGTATTCCTAATAATGGCTTAACAAAGACACGGATACAATCTTTGACTATATTTGACGCTTTACCTCAGATCTAAGACGTTTGTACTGTACAAGTAGATGGTTATTGGAACTTTTTTGTTCTTCTTATATAACTTTGCTTAACGCTTGACGTTCCTAATAATTTCACTGGTGTACCACAAAGGGTGCTTATGACTTCAAGATTTATATTTGGGTATGTAAATATGAAAAATTGAGTATACAAATTTATAAAATTCAAGAACAGCTAAGCTAACATCTGAGAAGTTATCTAAAAAAGAAAATCCTGCAATAAGGAGAGCATTATACGGCTCTGTAAAACTAGCTTTTCGAAAATTATACATGTTAGTATCGCTAAATAAGGGAAATGCGTCAGGGTTAATATTAATATTTTCAAAACGTATATCAAGAGCTGGATGATGGGGGATATCTCCAGGTACCAAGTATCACGAGTAAACAGAACAAGTTCCATTTGATAATATTAAATCTAACGGCCTTCCATTATCATTCAAAGCATTATTGCATTGTTTAAGGCTCAACACATCGAGCAAACTTATTACAGCATTTTTTCCTGTGGTCAAAATTACCCACAAACTGAAAATTTGAAAAATTGAAATCACCTGTCAGTACGACGATTGGAAACATATCATTTGTTCTAGTTCCTCGGCAAACTATTGTTGTTTATAGAAAAAATCTGAGAGTGCTGTAGACAGTGCACTATAACAAAGTTTCTATGCACAAAGAAACTCCACACACAAGCTTCATCTTGTCATTTTAAAAATTCATTCAACTGAACGTATAAATTGTGTTTTAAAACAAGAGTGAAGTGAATCTCCTAATTGCTGGAACTTTCGTCAAAACTTCCCAAGAGGCAATAATATCGTTCCCTCTTCCATAAGGCGCTGAAACATTTGACATAAATGAGTTTCAGGAATGCGGTATTCTATTATTTGGAGGAATTCTCATTCGGAGTGTTTGCTGGGGAAATTCGTCGTCAAATAAAGTGGAATCTTACTCTTGTTGGAGAAAGAATGTTTCTGATACCTTTGTATTTGCACGTGTCATATGCTAAAATGAAAGTAATAGAAGTAAAGAAATGTGTCAAAGGTAGTTAGGTGCTTTGGAGTCTGGAAGTAGCTGGGTAGAAAATTTTAAAAAAGTAATCAGTAACTTTATGAGCTTTTTCTGATTTTTAAGTTTTAATTCATTCGACTCAACGTACAAATTGTGCTTTAAAACAAGAGTGAAGTGAATCTCCTAATTACTGGAACTTTCGTCAAAACTTTCCTGAGAGGCAATCATGTCGTTCCCTCTTCCATAAGGCGCTAAAATATTTGACACAAATGAGTTCCAGGAATGCGGTATTCTATTATTTGAAGACTTTGTTAGGAAATTCGTCGTCAAATAAAGTGGAATCCTACTCGTATTCGTGAAAGAACGTTACTGATACGTACCTTTGTATTTGCACGTGTCATATGTAAAATGGTAATAATAGAAGTAGAGAAATGTGTCAAATATAGTTAGGTGCTGAGTAGAAAATTTAAAAAAAAGCCATCAGTAACTTTATGAGCTTTGGCTGTTTTTAAGTTCTCAGTTTTCTTAATGCATGGGTTTTGAGCTTTATCTCGTGCACTATACAGGGTGTTTCAGTTTATTGTTGCATAACTTTAAGATTCGATAGAACATATAAAATTAATGCATAAAGTCTATATAAACATGGGTCGAAAAATGCGTAGCTCTCGAAATACAAGGTTGCTTAAATTTACTTTTTAAATTTTTTTTTTAAATATTTCGAACAATATTTGATGTATAACAGTGAACATTGGTATACAAGGGTTTTTTGGTACGACAAAACGAACCATGGACATAGTTTTATTGTAGCCGCTAGAGGGCGCTCTCTACTGTACCTGTAGGTTATTAAAATGACCGAAAATTTTTTCTTAGTGCAATTTTTTGCTTTTTGAATAAAAAAAAATATTCTTTGCACTTTTCTGCATAAAAAAGCTCTCTTGTGAGTTTTCGTTATAGTTAGCCGTTTTTGAGATATTTCGATTTTTAAGGTTTGATGCATTTTTAATTATTTATGGGAAAATAATATTTTTTTTTTAAATTTCGATTTGGGCATTACAAGTAATTAAGATGATCGTTTAGATTGTGTTTTTAAACACAGCAATAATTCCTAACTCCAAATAAACACAAAAAACAGAATATTAATTTGTTTAATTTTCCAATATTATTTTAAACAAATTAGATTAATTATTTACAACTAAAATGCTATTGGATAGTTAGGACAAACATACAGAATCTAAAGTAGTTGCTCGAAATGTAAACCCAATTATTCAATACACAATTCACATCTACGAATGATCGAACGTGGTATAGCATTATTCAAATAAGGGTCTTATTTCATCACATGCATTTCTGATTCTGTCTATTAGCATATCTCTTGTGGTTACGGGAGTCTGGTACACTTTTTCTTTTAGAAATCCCCACACAAAGAAATCTAATGGATTTAGGTCAGGGGATCGTGGAGGTCAGGCGACTGGTCCTCCACGGCCGATCCATCTTTCTGCATAATTTTCGTCCAGCCAGTTTCTAACTATTCTCGAATAATGAGCTGGATAACCATAAAGCTCGAACCAGGCCAATCTTCTTAAATCTAACATAACATCATCCCACATATTTGGATGTTCAGCCTTTAAAAATTCCAAGAGGGTCGCAGCATTTAACCTTGCAGGGTCCAGATAGTCGATTACGGTAGATACCAATCCACACGTTCACACTAAATTCATGCTGAAAATTTCTTTCTTGAACTGCATGCGGATTTTCATGGGACCAAATATGTTGATTATAAAAACTCCCTATTATTATCAGTTCTATCAAGAATCCACTGACAAAATATGATTCTTCGTTCTCCGACCCCTAGCTGTAGTCCTTGCACAGGTTGCAAATGGTAAGGACGTCTATGGTCATTTCTAAGAACACGGTGAACATGGCTTGCTGAAATTCCCAAGGCACCAGAAACTCTACTAACACTTGTGGTCGGATCTCTATCAAACTCACGCAGAATCATACGGGTAAATCTGCGCTGACGAACATTTATATTTTGATCCCTTTGGATATTTCCAAAACCATTTTCAATTATTTGGCGATGCACTCTTACAAATACTGAGCGAGTTGGATGTCGTCTGTTTGGAAATCTGGCTGCTTCTGCTGCGTTTCTATTTACAAAGCCATACACAAAATGAATATCCGCTAACTCTTGATTGGAGAAAAAAATGACATTTTTATAAAACTTACAAAAAAAAACAGGTAAAAGAAACTAAATTTCGTGCATTCACAATTGCAAAAAAATGTTTCAGGTTTCAACAGACAACAAAACTAACTGTCAACTAATTGACGTTTAACCTTATTCTGCTTTCATTTTCAAAAATATTTGCAGGCACAGCCTACTTCTAAAAATTATCGAGATACTGACTTTTTAACGTTATTTTATCATAATTAATTAAAAATGCATCGAACCTTAAAAATCGAAATATCTCAAAAACGGCTAACTATAACAAAAATTCACACGAAAGCTTTTTTATGGTGAAAAGTGCGAAGAATCAGTTTTTTTATTCAAAAAGCAAAAAATTGCACTAAGAAAAAAATGTCGGTCATTTTAATACACTACAGGTACAGTAGAGAGCGCCCTCTAGCGGCTACAGTAAAACTATGCCATGGTTCGTTTTGTCGTACCAAAAAACCCTTGTATACCGATTTTCACTGTTATACATCAAATATTGTTCGAAATATTTAAAAAAAACTATTTTAGAAAGTATTTCGAAAGATACGCATTTTTCGACCAATGTTTATATAGACTTTATGCATTCATTTTAAAAGTTCTATCGAATCTTAAAGTTATGCAACAATAAACTGAAACACCCTGTATATGGTTGAGTCATGCATAATTATTTTAATCGGGCCTTGATCGTAATTTACCCACAGAATCAATAAGGTGTACATATAATAATGCAAAAAAATTGAGAGAAGCCCACCCCTATACCTTTCAACATCTCACCTCCAATATTTTACCCCTCGTACATTTCTAAAGTGAAACCTCAATAAACGGAGTTTGAGCGACGAGGTTTCAGCAATTTCTTTGTTTGTTTGGCCCGCAGCTCCACAGGTATTGGGTTGATTTCCAAAACCTCTAAAACCTTTTCATCGTTGCCGGTGTGTCAAAATTTATCGTATATGTCATATATTACCCCAACAATATACCTCATATAAGTACGAATTTATTGTGATTACAATACTTCCTCGCCAACTAACGTAAGAGAGAAAAGTACTTTGAAGAAAGCAATAGATAGAGCTGAAACGTCAGTAAAGTCCATTCGTTAATGGCCAGTATTTTGTAGTAGACTATTATTTGTATCGCAGCCGACAGAGCAATAAATCTGTGGACTAATCCAACTTTGCTCCATCTCCGGGCAAGAAGGCTGCTTCTCGCATCTAACTTCCTGTTACAGATGGCGAGTCTTCATAATTAAACTTCCAGTTTTACCGAAGTAGATGCACATTCAAATTAACTGAGACTATAAGTTATTGCTATAAAGCTTCCTTTATTGGCAAGTTAACTACAAACACCTACAAGTACTTAGCAGGTTATTGCTACTGCTGTTTTAAATAGATTTGTCTTAGCCTCTAGGTCTTAATGAAATGAATTGGATACTATTTCGAAGTCAGGCCGGTCTGTCTGGCAGGCACATCACGTGGCCGCATCATGGAGATGAGTTCTGAGGCGCAAAGTCCATTGGCGTAGCGGTAGAAGAGAGCTAGATCGCCGACAGCCCGCCGGTGCGGAAAGGTCCCGAGACTGTCCATTAGAGAAAAGTCATCGATCAGTCGGACAGGCCTTAAGAGAGAGCAGTATTTCAGGCCAGATCTTAGCTGGGCCTTGTACAGAGTGGAGAAATCATGTGGAGGAAAGTTTCTTCCTAGCAGCTGCCGCTAGAGGTGTATTCGTGCAAGATTAAGTCCTCAGTGATCCAACTAGCCGAAATGAACGGCTCTCCGGTAGAACTCGGCCATCCATTGAAACCGGATGAGCGTTAGGACGCTTCTTGTTCGTCAAGGTACATTACTGTGTTTTGGAAGCAGTGATAACCTCCAGGTCTCTTGTCAGAGAGGAATTCCCTGACAGTCTTATTTTCTTCAGCTCACCAGTAGAGATTGGCTTGTCACTCTGGATACCTGCATGTAGAGTGCTGTCATCAGCGAAGTTGTTGATTGGATTGACCGTACAGGAAAGGGGGAAAAGGGGAACACCTGTGTTGACGTTGTGGATGAAGAGTAGAACCCATCAATTACGATGGATATCTTGCGGCCCGAGAGAAAGTCTGCCACCCATCTGAAAAGCTTCTTTGGCAGGCCAGAGGATGAAAGTTTGCGTAGGAGGACATCATTCCACAGCTGACCGAATGCTTTCGTGGTATCAAGGTCAACGACATGGGCCTCGCTATAAGACTGGATAAGTTTACGCCACAATTGCGTGTCGTAAGCTAGGAGGTTCCCTGTGGGCCACTGTTGCCGGATTCGCAAGATATCTGCAGCTCCACTGTACACCTCTCCAATACAAAGGCAGGAGCCAAATCCACACCAGAAGCTTTGATGATGTCTGAAGCAGAAGTTAGACACGAACATCAAAGACAGTGAAGTAAGTTAAACAGTCCCATACAATTAGCCTATAGATATCTTTTTCCATGCTTTACCGGTAATACCGTCCATCTGCCAACGTTCCTCCTTTCGTCAGGCTCGAACCACACCAGTAATGGAACGATCATCACTGGAGAGGCTGTGACGCCAATCAGCCCAGCAACAGTCGCGCGTCCAAGATATGTCTTATTTTTTATTTTAACCTATAAATATATTAACGCCAAAAATTGAGACCCTTCTCCACTTCCTACAATCCCAAATTTTTAAATCTTATAAATGTTTTCCAGAAAATGATGAGGTGAGCCCCTGAAGCGTAAAAAACACGAAGTTTGAGTGATTTTTATTTTTTTTCGTCTTTTATCCACAGCTCCGTCGCCACTAGTCCGTATTTAAAAAACTATCATCACTGCTAGTCTTTGGAATAGTGGTAACCATATGTGGACATTGTTAGTGGACAGACCTACCGTCATACCGATAGACCCACCGAAATGGGTGACATGGTTTTTCGCTATGTAAAACATAATTTCTTCGCCAATTGGCGTCGTAAGTGAAAATCTGAAATTTTCCACTTTCGTCTCTTGTTGTTACAAGCGGATGAGACTATGTACATGTAGGTAATTTGGAGCGCTGAATTTAAATATGACTGTTAAAAACGTCTTGGAGCCTGATTTGAGGTAGAAAATGAGTCGCATGCGTCAAATTGACATGAGATCGGAATATACGAACTTGAGTTAGTAGTGCGACAAGTATTTACCTAGATCACAGATACCTACGGAGGAATTTTTTAAAATGTTATAAAAAATTGTTGGCCAGATTTTCCAGTTATGGTTTTCAGTTGTTAAGCCCAGATGAAAATTTGCACTCTTGGATAATGACGGTGAAGCATCATCGGGCTGAATATGAGGCAGAATATGGTCGTTTAAAGAACTATCAAACACTAGTACCAGAAGGGAAGGTGTGGTATATTGCAAAAGCCAATGGTACAGAGACGAATAGAAAACTTAGCTTAATACAGATCTGTGGGTAACTTAGCAACATCATTTTAGGCTGAAGTCACAACCATACCAGTCTACGCAAAAGAAGGGGTCAGGCATAACCCATTAAGGCACAATGTTTGGAACAAATATCGTCTAAACTAGTAGAGGAGTGCGTGAACATATTCAAGTAGCTGGGAAACCGAAAATGAGACAACCGAGACATGAAGGGCACAAAAGATGAGTAAGCCCGCAAAGGAGCGGCTAATCGCCTCATGACCAGTTAGGGCTTAATAGGAAGATCATAAGGGCCATAATGGGTCTTCTAGCAGGATACATGGGTCTCAGAAGAGGCTACATGTCGATTCTGCAGAGAGCATGTAGATATACTAAAAGCCTGGCAAGGCCAAGGCTTGTGTTACTAGGAATCACTAATCCAACAACAAAAAGCTGCATGCGAAGGCCTGTGTCTGAAGTCTGAAATCAGAGCTTTAGGCAGTGTATATGGAGGGGGGAGGGGGCACAATAGATCCATATTGGTGTCGCAGTGGCATTTGAGACTCGCAAGCTAACGCCTTGTCTGTAACCTGTAATGAGTCGTTTGGAAGCTTCTGTGACTCCTGACATCAAAATTGACAACAGATTCTGAATCTACGTACCCAAGATTCACCACGGAAGCCAGTTTTCATCCAGATCACAGATAACCACTCAGGATTTTTTGCTTATTTTATCATTGAAAGCCTTAAAATACTATAGGAAATTGTAGGGCAGAATTTCTAGTATCGGCTCCCCACTGTTGAAATCCCTCCAGGCTGGCTTTAGAGGTTTATTTTAAAGCTTTGCATGTCGTGACCACGTATACGTAAACATTGTCTATTGTCCACAGGCTGGCGTCCATTTGTGCCATAATTACGAACGCAGCTTAGCAAAGCGGAAACTTTATGAGTTGTATTTGTTATTTTCTAATTACAAACGCCCTCACATCTTCAAGCACCCTTCTTGTTTGTATTGTAGTTGTTAGTACAGATGAAGCGAGTTTCCACCTGAAGTCTATGGCTTGGGCATGCCTTTACTGCCTACGCTACTGACAAGGAAGTATTATAATCGTGGATAATTTCAAAAATGAGATATTATACAGCCGGCATCAACAAACCATGATATTCGAAAAATGTATGAATTTCCCAAAAACCATAACATGTTAATAAATCCTAGTAAATCCAGCCTTTTATTTTTTGTTCAGATCATAATGGCTCGTTTACACAGTGCGAGCTGCTGACTAGACAATAGACAGCTACTCGGATGGTCTACTCGTATGCTAGTAGCTCGACTCGCCTTAATTGTTTCCTGCTGTGATTAAAAAAACGGTGATAAGGTCTATGACAATAATATTATGTGAAGAATTGGAAAAATCCTACAAAAAACTTTAAAAAAAGGAGAGGAAGAAAAAGGCTTGGATTAGAGATTGGATGGCAAGATGATCTATAGGGGCAACATGTGCGATTTTAAAGGAGCTTTATCATGAAGACCCCCGAGAATATAAAGCAGTGCTGAGAGTGGCACCCGAACATGTTGACAAACTTTTAAATTTAATAAAAATGAAAATAGAGCGTCAAGACACTTTTATGAGAGATGCCATACCAGCAAGGGTAAAGTTAGAAGTAGCCATTTGTTTTCTAAGCTCAGGAATATCATACAGGCTGTTAGCAATATTTTTCAGGATTTCAAAATCCTCCATATCAAAATGTATTCCAGAAGTTTGTGACGTTATGTATCAAGCTTTGGACGAATATTTGCAGGTAAGTAGAAATGTGGTAAATGCTTCATGAGTTGATACTTCAAAGGTTCAGTTAACTTATTCAATGGCACATGTGCGATCATACATACATTCATTCATTTATTAAAGACAAACCAAGTCATACAAAATTAACACAAAAGTAACACAGAGGATAAAAGTTATTGCATATTGTTCATATCAGCATCTACCATTGCTCTGACTATTGGATCACTAAAGTGGATAGTCTCGTATGATGCATTTGATGGTTGTCCAACAACTGTTTGAAGTGGCTGCCGAGAAACAGTTTCTGCGGGCCGATCAGATATTGGGACAGGTCCTGGGAATGAATCACATGGTACACTGGATCCTGGTGATGTCAGCGATATGTAGGACGTTGGCGACGATGTATTATATGAGGAAAACGTAGATGTGTTTCGGGCATATATAGCTTTTTTTCGGTATCGGGAAAGTACTTGTTGGATTTCATCTTTGGCGTCTATAAAATCGAGTAATGGCAGCTGTCTCAGTTGAATAGCGACATGTTTTCCAATAAAATCGTACTCATCACATTGCTGAGAACAACTGGAAGTTTGTATAGTACTATTCAGTTGTTTAAGCTCATTAATAGCTGCTGCAATTCCACTCGTTTCTTGGGTAATGTTATGCTTTATTTTATTTTTAATTTAACTGGATTTTTATTTTTGATCAACGAGCTGTCGCTGGGGTCGATTGATTTATTATCAGTTTTATCAACAATGTCCCGACTAACATCATCTTCCAAAATTTTGGACCCCGACGGTGTATCGTTAGGCTGAAATGAAAATACTAATTTAATATTTTTTCAGGTACCAGACAAAAGGAAATGGGAAGACATACAAGTAGGATTTCATCACAGGTGGAATTTTCCAGGATGTTGTGGAGCCATCGACGGCAAACATGTGGCAATTCAAGCTCCTCCCAATAATTGTGGTAGTGAATACTATAATTATAAAGGAACAAACAGCTTGGTGCTCTTAGCAGTCGTGGATCATGACTGCTGTGTTAAATATGTGGACATAGGCTCATATGGGCGAAATTCCGACGACGGTGGTGTCTTCCAGGCTTCCTCATTGTATCCAGTGTTGGAAAATGGGTCATTACTGCCAGAAGGTGGATTCCTAGTGGGAGATGATGCTTTCCCTCTTAAGATATACTTATTGAAACGATATCCCAATGAGCCCACGATTGCCGAAAAAATTTACAATTACAGCTTCGATAGGGCAAGACGCATAGTAGAAAATGCATTTGGTATTTTAGTATCTCGATTCCGTATTTTGGCAAAACCTATCCAGTTGCAAGAGAAAACCGCAATAAAAATGATTCGAACTACATGTGTACTGCACAACTGGTTGCGCAAATCTTCACTTCACACCTACACACCACCTGGTATCATAGATTATGAAGATATTGTAAATTTCACTACGAACCTAGGAAAGTGAAGATCAGAAATAAATGCGTTACCAAGTATCGCCCGTTGGTGGATCAATAACAGATCAAAGATCGCAGCTGAAAAATTGAGAAAAAAATACATTTTTTTTTGTAATGAAGGTGCTGTCACCTGGCAAAATTATATGATTAATAATAATTAAATGTAATGAACTATCTCAGTGGAATAAAATATCAGGTACTCACCAGATTGCTTGTTGATTCCTTTTCTTTCAAATTAATTGTTTTCATTATATAATCAATTATATCGAACCATTTTAAGGATGACTTGTAAACATCTTCCGACCCAGATCCACTCTTTTTGCTTTTTTCGCGCGTTCTTGGTTATAGGTAGATCGTAAATTTTTTATTTTCTTAGTTATCTCACTGGTGTTAACTAGACTCATTTCGTGCTTTTCTCATATCTCTATTTTTATAATTTTTATCAAAACAATTCCATAGGTTTTCTTGTTCTCTGTAGAGATTCATGAATGTAATATTATTCTCAGAAGACCACTTTTCTGAGCCCATTTTGAATTGGGTAAACGCTTTTGGCGCAGCACACATAAAATACAGCTTCTGCTTCGTAATTGCGGGCTGACACTGGCGAGCTACTGCCGAACGATGCGAATGACGTCCGAGCTGTCGCCATATGCGCGTTGCTGTTGGGCCAGTAGGTGAGTGAAAACAAAAATTGTTGAAGTAACTCGGATGCGATCTACTGTCCAACTCGCACGTACGAGATACTCGTAGATACGTCCGTATTTATGCGAATTACTGCACTGCAGCTACTCGGCAGGCTGACTCGTACGCTAGCTCGCACTGTGTAAACGAGCCATAAAGGAGAAAAGTCATCTAGCTGTTAAAATTGGATCTCAAAGACTGTACCCGGTTGATGAGGTTAAAATTCTTAGATTCACCAGTCATGCTAGAAACCGTTTAAATTAAACCTATTTGAGACTGAGATAATAATATACTAATAAAGCAATTTCCAATTTCAAACTAAGGAAAAAATTGTGTTCATCTTTGGTTATGTCCATTTTAAACTACTGTGATATTTTAAATTATTCCTGTGTTGATGTTGTTACTAGAAATCGGATTTAAACCGTGCAAAATAATTGTGATAGGTTCATTTAAGAATTAAGGCGCTTTGACCATGTTCCTGGTAGTCTTATAAAATTAAACAGAAAACCAAAAATATTATAATGTATTTATTATCTTGTATTCAGTCATAAAGTAATACTTATGCCCAAGTCTATCTATTTAAGAGAAAAGCTGATATTTAGGTATAATATACATGATAGACATCTCAGCAAATATGACAATTAAACCTATTCACTTTACAGTTTTTTTCAATATTCTTTCACGTATCACGTATTCACGGTGCAGTATCATACAATGACTTGAGTCTCGAATTTAAAACCTTTTCTTCTGATTGCTTCAAGCAAGCCGTTAAATCTCAAATCTGCTTGGATCCATAGTCTAAATATGTTGCTCCTGACTTTGTGGCTAATTTTTTCTTCTCTTTCTTTGTGTATAGTGAACTTTTGCGCAACATATATTTTTTTGTTTTTTTGCTACCTAATAACTTTTATTTTTTTGCATGCGTGGTTAAATGTAAGAATGGCGTGTTGATAGATTTTTGTCACCATTCGCATTTTTTCCATACTGAATTGTACAGATTCAATTAAGACATTTATTATTATTAATATGTCCATGTCACTGATTTCCGCCAATCTGTCTGTCTGATTGTCGTACTGTTTGTCCGCTAATCCTTGACCCGTCAAAAAATCATCATCATATCAGAGAACTTTGGTTAGATCTGACTATGAAGCTTTCAGTAATTTGCGAAGAGCCATCAAAATTGATATAGACTTGGCGTTTTCTAATTTTGTTGCGAGAACTGAGCGTGCCCTTGCGCAAAACCCCAATCAATTTTGGTACTTTGTTAACTTGCGCAGCAACAGATCAGGCATACCCAACAATATGTCTTTGGAAATTGAGGAGTTCAGGAATCAACAGGAAATTGTTGATACTTTTGCCAAGTAGTTCCAGTCCACCTACTTCACGTCTTCTCAACCATCTGCTGATTGTTCTGTTACAGAAAATATATCGTATCTCCCCATAGTGACTATTAATGTGGAGCATGTACGGAATGCAATAAAACGGTTAAAGCCTAAATGTTCTACTGGCTTGGATTCCATACCATCATTTTTTCTAAAAGACTGTGCGTGTGCCTTTGACATATCTTTTCAATTTGTCTTTGAAATCTGCCACCTTTCCTAGAAAATGGAAATTGTCTAAAATAACACCTGTTTTTAAGAAAGGCGATCGATCGCAGGTAGTGAATTACAGGGCTATTGTTATTTTAAATAATATTGCCAAAATTTTTGAGTTCGTTTTCTTTGATATTTTGTTCTCTCATGTAAGTCGGTCAATATCGACGAGTCAACATGGCTTCTATAAGGGTAGATCTACGTGTAGTAATCTGGCATGTTTAAAGCAGTGCTCCGCGTCAGTTCTGGATAATGGCGGGCAAGTTGATGTAGTGTATACTGAGTTTTCGAAAGCTTTCGACAGTTTGGATCACGGTGTTCTACTGCAGAAGTTGTCTAAGTAGGATTTAACATCTAGATTCTTAGCTTTCTCTCATTCATACATAAGTGATACACAATTATGTGTGGACTTCAGTGGATATAAATCTGGTGCGGATTTAGCTACACCAGGGGTGCCCCAAGTTTCTGTTCTGGGTCCTCTATTATTTTTAATTTTTATCACTGATGTTACAACAGACTTGCATTGTGAGTACCTGCTATGACCTCAAAATTTTTAATAGCGTGTGTTGCTTAGAAGACAGTTTAAGGTTACATGCTGATTTGAATGTCAGTGATCCCTGGTGTAAAGTAAATAACATGCACTTGAATGTGAATAAATGTACTACTATGACGTTTACACGCAGGGTGGAACCGACATGTTTTAATTTTGAAATCGGTAGTAATATTCTTTGTCGTGTTAATATCGTCAAGAATTTGGACGTATTATTCGATCTAAAGCTTTCTTTTATTGATCACATTAATGCAATAATAGCAAAAGCTTTTAAAAATTTTTATTTTGTTATAAGAAAGACATTTCAATAATACTAATACATTAATTTTACTTTTTAATGCTTTTGTCAGATCTATTTTAGAATAGTGTTCGATTATCTGGTACCCGGCCTATGATATACACTGTAAATACATCGAAAGAATCCAACGTCGTTTTGTAAAATACTTATGGTTTAAACATGATAGAGCTTACCCTGAAAGGGGTATACGCAATGACATTCTCTTAAGTAGATATAATTTACCTAATTTAGTCAAACGTATGAATCTGTTAGCTGCTAAATTTTTATGTAATTTGTTGAATGGAACAATTGATTGCTCTTTTCTTCTAGACAGGATCTCTCTACGCGTTCCCGATTTGCGTACTCGTCATGGTGGTAACAATTCATTTTATTTACCTGTTCCGCGGACAAATTTATTGTTGTTTTCGCCTCTCTATGTTATGTGTAATGTCTGTGACAGTGTAAGTAAACTTGATATTTTTAGTTCTACCAAAATCGATCTCAAGAGGTGTTTTTTGACAATTGGATAATTTATATTTATGTCTTTTTTATCATGTACTGTGTAGAGTTTTGTTTTTGTATCATTTTTTGTTTTTTCCCTGCCTGTTAATTGGATCACTATGTTCAGGCAGATGGTTATCTTCAGGTAGAATACATTAATCAATGTTGACACTTTCAACACAATAGTATAAAGTAACGATTCGGTAGAAACTCATTCAAATTCACCAAAAGTGTTTTTCTACAGCTTTTGTAGGATCTTTTTTGGCGTACCCTGTATCATCTTCATTCCTTCAACAATGATATGCGATGTTATCCAATTGGAGTAATACGATATTTCTATCCCGCAAAATCAGGTTTCTCAACCCTCTCACAATTGTGGTAACAGCTGGGAATTTGATCTTACCGAAAACACGAAATTCCTGCTGTACCACGCTCCATTGTTAAATTTATTAGGAGCGCGGAAGCCCCCCGGTTCTGAATTACAACTACAACAGCCATTATTTATTTTACCTCAGGGTCTTGAATATAATAGGGGGCATAACAGCTGTTTTATGCGTTACGGTTATCCCTCATAAACGCACCTGTCTCCCTGATGATATGTCACCTAGTCGTATTTTAAGAAACAATAAGAGACATACTTGCAAGAGTCTTTGGACTTCGCCTTCTAAGGATTTTCGAAGTACCGTTTCATTTTGGACATACATGCGCATTCTCTTGAATGCTTTTTGTGAGATACCGTATAATTGTACAAAATTTGGACGTTCTATATTGTACATTCACCAGTGGCGAAGCGTCCATGTAACCATTGTTACCACTGGTAACAGTTAAAAATCTTAAAAATAAATAATTTATTTACCCAGCAATATGTACTAGTAATTTAGTAAATAGCAGATTAGCCCCACTAAAATAATGCGCCCTGTAATACTGTCTAGATTTTGCGGACACGATGAAGCCGACTCGCCTCGACTTGGTTGTTACCATTTTCGTTTATGGATACACTTGTTAGTCCGTCGGGTCCATGTAACCATTGTTACCACTGGTAACAGTTAAAAATCTTAAAAATAAATAATTTATTTACCCAGCAATATGTACTAGTAATTTAGTAAATAGCAGATTAGCCCCACTAAAATAATGCGCCCTGTAATACTGTCTAGATTTTGCGGACGCGATGAAGCCGACTCGCCTCGACTTGGTTGTTACCATTTTCGTTTATGGATACACTTGTTAGTCCGTCGGGGACAGTCGGTACCGGCTCGTGTCTGATCGCGGTCGGCCAAGTGCTTGGGCCGCCGCGATTGTTATGTAGGCTTGTTACCATTTTTTTGTCTTGGTTACTCACTTCTCCCTCCTTAGTAATCGTTTTGGTTGCCGGCTGTAGTGTGCGTGCAATTAAACATGGATGAGTCTCGCTGCGTAATCGATTAACTACTTGAAAAGTCATTCTCCTTGTATAATTCTGAAGAAAAAAGGGAGATAATTGAAAATGCAATACCAACTTATTTTGGATAATTTGAAAAAGGAATTTATATTATATTTTAAATTTAGTTGCTATAGTGAAAACTCTTGGTTATGTGGTTGCAAGAAAAACAGATTGTATTGTTGGTCTTCTGTTTTCTACAAAAAATGGGTGGACCAGCAACGATTTAAATAGTTTTAGGGTTCTGAAGAGGAGACATGAAATTTCTCCTTTATATGTGAGATGTGTAGCCAATTTGATTCAGTTTGGCAAAACAAGAATCGAAAGTTGTCTTAACCAAGATTTTAGGCTGTATGTTTTTTTGGCCAAACAAGAATTACCATTTCGGGGTCATTTTGAAGGGGATGACTCTGACAATAGAGGAAATTACTGGGAATTGTGAACATTAATTGCCAAAAAAGAAATTTCCGAACATCTAGAAATGTCTACTGTTTTTCGGAAGGCTTGGATTAGTCATAGCATAAGACGTAAGACGATGAGGTATATCAAGTGCAGCCAACGCCCAGTCCAGCAATGTTTACCTTCATTTAAAAAAAGTTTAAACACACTACCTTAAATAAGCAAAGACTTTTACATGGGAGGGTCAAAATAGACCTTTTCATCTGGTTTTGGTAACAGTTTAGGAAAAGTCACGGGTCGCCACTGACATTCACTAGAACTGCTATTTACTGGTTACCCAACGCACACTACTTGATGAAATTAGCCTTTCAAAAATTACAAAGCCCAGCATAGTTATTACGTGAAAAATATTGAGATATCAAAAATGACAACTTACGATTGCTCGTTGTGAGCGTCACCAAAAGCGTCATCTGTGGAGGAATGATTCAACAACACGCTCAATGACCAGCTGCAAGTCAGTTCCCCAGCTTGCTTTGTTGGTTGCAGAATGCCCAGATAGTCTATGGAATATACCTCTGAGAAGATGTGACAAAGCAAATTGGTTTAGTAGTAGAGAAGCAGGATGATTGTGTGGTGCTTGTGAGTACTGGTCTGCATGTGTATTGAACCAGCGATATTTGCCATGATGGAAAATTATTACTGAATATGCTGCCCATCAAGTATATATATATATATATATATATAATTTGTTGTTATGGATTGAAGCTTTTTTGTTAGATAGATCTTTCTCCGTCCGTGTTGGAGACGCCTATTCTTCTAGCCATCGTGTTACTAGTGGAGTTCCACAAGGATCTGTGCTAGGGCCAATACTTTTTCTTCTTTATACAAGGGACCTTCCCATCCGACTTTCTTCTATGTGTTCCATCTATGCAGATGATACTAAAGTCTATAACACTGCCATGAACTCATCTGTGCTTCAAGAAGACCTCAAGCTGATCAGAAAGTGGTCAGAACTTTGTCTCCTGCCTTTAAATCTCTCGAAATGCTACGTTCTCCAACTGGGAAAGAATAATCCAAACTTAACATATAGGATTGGCAAACATACCTTAGAGACTGTTTTTCTTCACACAGGTCTTGGTCTGACAGTTAATGACCGGCTCACCTGGTCGGAGCACATTCAGAACATAACCTTTAAGTCAAAGCGGTTGCTATATATGATGGAAAGATCATTTAGCGGTTGAACCATTAGTACCGCCTCCTTTTTGTACACAACTTTCGTACGACCCCTACTGGAGTTTGCTGCTCCGGTATGGGATTCAAACTTTGTTCGCGATAGCAGCTTATTAGAGGCCGTTCAACGTCGTGCTACACGTATGCCTTATGGCACACGTAAGCCAAGTTATGAAGACCGCCTCGAGTTATATAACCTGCCTGCTTTTGCTGATAGAAGAATGCGAGGAGATCTCATCATCACTTTTAGAGCACTGCATAATTTGTTTGGTGTGGACATGTCGCATCTGTGTCGTCTGGCAACGAACAATCTCAGAGGCCATAACTTCAAATTGCAGAAGGAAGCTTGTAGAACCTCTACTCGTCAGCGCTTTGTCTCAAACCGTGTCTTCGATGCATGGAACAGTCTTCCATCTTATGTAGTAGACTCGGTATCCGTCAACAGTTTCAAAAACAATTATGATAGACGCCGCAGTGCCTAACATATTGTTCCCATTCTGTATATGTCTACTTCAGAAGTGCTAAGATTGTCAAATTGTTATATTTATTTTGTCTGTACACTATTATCTATTATGTGTTTGAGTTTGTAGTACTTGTACTCAACTCAAATTTGTCGTTTAATAGTAATAATAATAATAATAATAATAATATATGTTAGTTGTATCAGATGGGTTATTTGTGTTGTCCTTTCTGAAGAGAGGTCATGTTCAATGTTATAAACAACGATTTTCTCCGTTTTTTTACGTTTACAAAAGCTTTGAGAAGCATTACAAGAAATCTCCACCGCACCCACGTTGTTTATAATTAAGCCACAACACAGAAAATTAGGAATGACGCATCAGAACAATTTTTCTGCAGTGCCTCACATCTAGGCGCTGATTTATATTTTCTACTTGACATCGCAAAATAAAATTCGATGAAACTTAAATGACATTCAATAAAAATAATGCAAAATATAATAACTTCTTCGTTTCCTAAATATTCCTGTCTGTGGCCTATTTTCTCACAAGATGGTAATATACGAGCACTTCTCCAACCAGGGATTTTCCTTCTTATCTCTCTCATTTTGTAAATTTGGCAAATTTGCGTATGTACCAAATTCAATTCCGGGAATTTGTTGATAAAAATCTAGCAAATGAAATTTCGCGTGAAATTTTATTATCGATTTTCACAATGGTCTCCATTTGAGTCTACGCACCGCTTACATCGCTGCTTCCACGATTCAAAACAGCCTTGGTAATGCTCTGAAGTTAGCCCGTTCAGCACCTGATTTATATTTTCCACTTGACATCGTAAAATAAATTTAAATGAAATTTAAATGACTCAATAAAAATAAGGCAAAATGTAATAAATTTTTCGTTTCCTAAATATTCCTGTCTGTGGCCTATTTTCTCACTAGTTGGTAACATACGAGTACTTCTCAACCAGCGATTTTCCTTCTTATCTCTTTCATTTTAAAAATTCGGCAATTTTGCGTATGTACGTGGTATGTCAATTAAATTCTGGGAATTTGTCAATAAAATTCAAGCAAACCAAATTTCACGTGGATCATCTTCTACTCTCTTAGAACCGTTTGCCCATTCAAACACGCTTGTTATCGACATACACGTGTCTTTATGTACTACCTGCAATTTTCGGAAGATTTCCGAGGATTTTTCACCAGACTTCACTAAAAATTGGATCTCAGCACGTTGCTTGTAATGTTAGTGACTCATTTTAGAGACGCCACTCAAAAACATTCGTTTAAGAAACACCCACAAAATTCAAACCACACGAACAATCGACTTCAGTTTTGGACTGTAACTCAAAAAGAGGTCACTTTTGTCGGGTAGAAAATAACAGGTGACGACCTCAAGTCATTACTGCATTCCCAGAATTTAAAAAAAGGATGTCCAACTAATTTATAGCTTTGAATTTTAAGTAAGTGCATTGGAGACAATAATCCAATGGAATTATCATCAACACATCGTCGGCAGTCTGACAAGACCTGCTGAGTGCAAATAGGATGATTTTACAGGAGAATGAAAAAACACATCAAGGGTCTGGTATGGTGGCCCTTGTACGTGAAATATCAACTTTATTATAATTCTATTGTTACTGTGAGCAGGATAAACTAATTTTGCTAAAATATGATTGGACTTTGCTTAAAAATCACATAGCAGATATTGTTACGGCGTAACTTATCGACTTAGCAGCAATTGCTATAAAGAAACTTTATTAACTAAAGAAGGACAATATCATAGGTATAATAATAGTTTTAGAAAATAAAGAACATATTTTAGATAGTTAAGTACATACAACTTCATTTCTTGCATTTCTTCGTTTTTTGTTTTCCATCCAAAGCATCGGACTCAGTAGTGTTTTCGGCAGTTTTATCTTTTTTGTATGGAAGAAGGTCATAAAATGTATGGCAATCTTTGGAAATAACGCTCTTCAAGTATTGTAGATGCTTCCATTTAATCTGTGTTATTTCCAATCTATCGCTGCAAAGGCTAGGGTAGTTTGAAGTCACAGCGATTTGTTTCGGTCTACTCTGAAGACTTTTGAAATCGTTTTCGAAATCAAGCTTCACTTTCAGTTCACCACAGGGATCATAGCATAGCGCTTTGATGTCGGTCACAAGGTTCTCTCTGCCGGGCCTGATTGTCGAATAACGAAGGAGCTCTGTTTTTCTATAATCTTTGAAAAAAGTGTGCTCCAGCCGGATCACTTCGTATGGGAATGGTTTTTTTCTAGCTTCTAAAGACGCTGTTACATAATCACTGGGTAGCTTGATTATCCTGTTTTTTAACTTTCTTTCTATGCAACTATGCACTGAGTCGCATTCCATCTGTGTATGGCCTTTCGTGCGATACTTTTGAATAATAGTAATTTCGTGCATGATATCAAAATTCAGTAAAGCGTTTGACATAATGTTGTTCCTGTTCTGAAATGTGCACCCGTCTGAGTAAATAATTATTGGCAAATTATGTTGTAAGCAATGCCTGTTTAAATAATCCAGCAAACATGAAACGAAAGTCGACGCCTGCAGTCCAGAGTCGACCTAGGTAAACCAATAGCACGTGGCTTGGTGACTTACAATATTATATATGGTGAAATTGTGGCAGCTTAGCTTTGTTTTAAAATAAATCTTTGTTGCATTCACCAACGGAGCAACTTTTACAGCTTGCAGATCCATGCAAATTACAATGCACTCGCCTTTCACAGCTTTCTCGTTATCTCGGTTTTTTCTTTTCTAGCTATTTCTTTGTCTTCAATATGTTTACGCCAAATACTACTATCAATGTTACCATTTTCCTGCTCTATGCAAATGTCACATCTATCTTTCTTTGGTGAAAACAAACTAAGATTTTTCTCTTTAAATATCTGCTTAAACACCTTTATGCTCAGGCAATGCTTGTTTTTCTCATCACAAACCTCTCTATAAAAATTATGCAATTGCTTCAGAGTAACGAAATGTTGCTCTAAATAAAATTTACTGGTATCCTTTCTCACATAGTGAGATGGCTGATTCGGAAGGTCATCGAAAAATAAATTCAGGAAAGCTTTACTGTCCTCGAAAGCGTGTACCCTATTATTCCTATTTTTTCGCTGTTTATTAAATTCTCCCTTAGACTCGTTCATATCGTATACACTCTCTTTTTTCCAACTTTCCACTGTGAATCGTCCTAGCCCTGTAGTATTGAGAAATGTTTTGCGACAGACTTGAACCAATTCTGTACCATTAAGTAGTTTGTATGTCATGGTATTTTCTCGTCTACTGCTTCCATTTTCGGTTGTTTTCCTAGATGGAGGCTGGAGGCTGACATGTCCAGAAACAAAAAGCTTTCTTTGATCCCACGTCATTTTTTTTCCAAAAACGGGAAAACATTTCTTTCCGTATATCTTCGGTGAAAGTATCACAAAACCTCTTCTTTGATTTTAAACACATTTTTGAAACACATGCCATTCCCAGTTTCCTCGCTGGGCGAGGAGTATTATGTTTGAAGTTTTTGTCCTTGTCACGCGAAAATCCAAGGTAATCCTCCCCTTTCATTCTTAGTAATTTGCTTTTATTCCTTTTCCATTCATTTTTGTCTGCTGTAATTTTTATTTTTCGTCCTTCATTCATGTCACCCCAAGGATGATTTTCAGTTGCGCTATTTGCTTTATCACTTTCGATAGCATTACCATCGAAGATATCGTCATCTACTGCATAGACATTATCTGGAACGGAATCACTGTCAAGATCGCTTTCATTACTACTGCTACTAAAATTGCCATGACTTCCAGCGGTTGGCTGATCTTGATCACGATGGCGAAGATCTAAGTGTTTATCCTCTAAACCACAAACATTTATTCCTAGCTCAGCTGGCGGAAGATTGAACTCAGCTTCATCTATTTTAAGAACATCATCAGCCAATACGATCTCCATACTGTTGATATCAAATCCATTAAAGGTGCTTATGTGTTCATCATATCTTTCTGGTAAGGTGCTTGGTACTGCTGGTACAACTGTTTGGAAATCAGTTTGTACTGTATTATCAAGTTCTTCGAGAGCTGATTTAGTTTTTTCTTGTTCTCTCACTAGATTTAAGATTTTTTGTGCTCGGACGCCATTTTTCCTAAAAGAAAAATATAATTTTGTGTTTATTCCGCACAAGCACCATACCTGTGAGTTGCATTTGTTCACCTAGATGACATAAACATCATAAAAATAATATAATTATGCTTATCAACAGGTAAAAAGCACTACTTTTGTGTTTTCCAGTGTATAACAGTTTACAATATCAATAGAAACAGAACATGCTAAGTTCCTCCTTATACAGAAATAATATAATTGCAATGACTGCTATTTGCGCTTTATTACAAAACGTTGATTTTAATTGCTTGTTGAGTTGTTTGTTCAAAAATATAATTATGCATATAAAGTAAAACTTATTCTTACCCTTATTTGAAAACTTCTGGAGTCTTGGCTGGTTATTCGGAGAAAAACTGGACACAATAAGCGGTGCACGCCAACACGTGGTTAATAACCTACAAATTTACGAATGCAACTTGACGTTAGCAGGTATTGCGTCAGCTAATAGTAGACGGGGAAAATCGCAGCTATTGTTTCGCGGCAATAGCGTAAACTATGCACCTATGTATTGCCGTTACCTCCAGTAATGTCATCTCTGAAGCAGATTTTACATCACATCAGTGCCAAAAACATTGATAACTGAAGCTTCATGACGTCTAGACACCTCGAAAAATTCTAAAACGAATTCACAACGTGTTCATCAGCTAGCGTTAACATCTTGTAGAAAAACCTATATAATGTCAAAAAAACCAATATAATGACAAAAAAATTGGACATAATGTCACTTTTCAAGAAACGGAAAAACCATGTCGGTGAAGAAAACACTTCTGTAAGCATCTAAGCCAGTATTGGCAGCGTAAATGATTCATTTGGCGTTTTTCTGTTCTCATTTTCTACAAATTTGAAGAAAGGCACATCAACGTCACATCAATGTCAAAATTTTCATTGACGTCACAAATTCTAGTCCAAACAAGAATCACTGAAGAAATGGAAAAAGTAAATTATGATCCGCACGGGTATCACGTATCTTAAAAAGTGACATTATGCCGCTTTTTTTGACATTATGCTGTTTTTTTTTGACATTATGTAGGTTATTCTACAAGATGTTAACTTAGCTCTTAGTTGTTGTACGTGTTGCCTAAACGTCATGTTATCAATCTGTGGCTGTGATATGATGTAAAATCTGCTTCTGAGATGGCATTACTGGAGGTCTAAGCTGTAAGTTGTATGTGTTGATGATAATTACATTGGGTTCTTGTCTCAAATACATTTAATTGAGATTCTAAGCTAGAAATTAGTTGCGCATCCACTTTTTCTTATCCATTCTGGAAATTACATATACAAATTTTCTAAATTTAAAAAATGAGAGAGATAAGAAATAATTATATTCACTGTACACTGTCGAATTATAAGCCATATACATGCTAACAGTAATTACACACAACGCGGGCGCGGTGATTCCCCGTAATTCTCCTCAATTTTTCGTAATTTATAGCTTTGAACATAACCTCTCTTCAGAACATATAAATAACCCGTCATGTTCGGCATATTCAGTAATGATTTTCTCACACAGCAAATATCACTGATTTTATACACAGGCAGACCAATACAGATAATCATCCAGATGCGATCTTGCTATTCAACCAAGAGATGAAAACTACAGACAGGGATCACTTAGCCTCACAAAGCTATGCAACCAATAATGCGTAGTTTAGTAGAGTGATTCCTCCATAGATGGACATTCACAACGATCCTAGTGAGCAAACGTGGAATGACTGTTTGCGCCCTAAAAACTACCTAGTCTGCAAGTTGACATCTTATAGGTCTTTTTTGACGTTTTGTATGTTTGTTACATGATACCCGTGTCGGAAAGAGAAAAACAAAAATGAGTAGGCGGGCCTAGATGATGAAAATAGTCACACATAGAAAAATAAAAATGAGGCAGACGGCATAGCTTGAGACTTAAGAAGATAACAACCGCAAAAAGAAAAAGAAAAAGATAGATGTGGCACTAACTGAAAAAGCAAATATGTACATTTGAAGAAATGAAGAAAGAAAATTTTCACTTAAAAGAAATTCCAGAAGCCAATAATGACAAAAAAAGGTATACAAAACAAATATTGGAAGGAAATAAACACTTACACGAGCAGAAATAATCAATGACGAACAGCCTTGTTGAGAAAATTTCAATTTAGTCTCGATAAATGAAATCAAAATGGAAATATAGAAGAAAAATCAGATCATCAGCGCTCATCATATGCAGCAGTCACGTCCCAGAATAAATTACCAGTCAATAAGAAACACCTTAAGATATTAACAATGGCAACCTAGAGATAACACTAGAAGAGGATGATCTAGACAAAATGCAGAAAGAAGTAAGAGAAAAGCTGCATCCAAAATACCAAACCTTCAACAAAAACCTGGTGTACCGTAGAAATAAAAATTGTCGGTTACACAAGTTTACCACCTGAAAAAGAAAAATGAATGGAGTAAGCCTAAATGATGTGATTAAATACTTCATAATCATCGAATTCAGTTTGATTACGTCCACAATATTAATACCTGTATATATTAAAGTCTTCTATTCAGGAATATCTTTTATAAAAAACTGCTTACCAGACGTGTTATACATAAAGTGAATTCTGAATATAAATGCAATATCTGTCTGCCTCATCACAAGTCAGCCATGTTCCAGCGCTCTTTTACATATAATGCTGTAAAACTTTTAAGTATGTTAAGTCCCTCGGTGAAAGATAACTTCAGCAAAAAGGTGCTAAAAGGTATGTATTTCACATAGCTTTATTTTAACTTTTAGCATCAGTCGTTTTAAAATTAGGTTTGGTTAGTTCTTAAGACCAGAATAAGGTATGAATGGCTTTAGGCCCTTTGTGCATAGTACAATAAAGGTAAAGGCGTTATTATTATTATAACTAGTTGAGATACCATACTATGACAAAATATCGATAATTTTTATACCCTGTATAACAACGGCTAAAACGATATATTCTTGGAAGGCCTGATTCTTGTTCATGGACATATCTGACCGATATGTACTGTCTATCTTCCATCGCCAGTAGGCCTAGAAGTAAAATAATGAAAACGTTGAATTTGTTTTGATGCCACCACCGCTTAGACTATTGAAGAACGTGCAAGGCACATCAGCCAGCTGATCCCCTAATGTCAATTACAGTTGCAACAATAATCGACCACATAACCACATCCTCAGATGTATTGTCATAAGCAGGATTGGTATTATTGATTCGTGGAATGAAATATACAAAATAAGTTATTAAATTTATGTGTATCGTGCAATTTTCCGCCATTATCCTTTCCGGCTTGCCGTCCAGCAGCAATTCCAGCTCCCTTTCAGCCTCTGCAAATGGAGCATTCGAAAAATAATTAACATGGCTGTTGTTAATTCTGTTGAGACTCCCTCGACGTCGTATAACGTAATTACTATCAACTTATCCTACAGGACTCGACTAAGGAACATCAAGCTCTAGCAGAGTGCAAAAGATTCAAGAAAGTTTGAGCTACAAGGGTGAATTTTCTTGAACTATCAGAGGAACATCGAACACTAGTAGAGAGCAAAAAATTGAGGAAGTTTGAACTATAAGGGCGAATTTTCTTGTACTATCAAAGGAACATCAAACACTAGCAGATCCAAAAAATTCAAGGAAGTTTCAGCTATAAGGTCGATTTTTCTTGTACAATCGGAGTCAGACAAAGATTAGCACTAGTGGTTGAAGTTGAGTCAGTGGCCTTAAGTTACGAAAATTATAGCCTTCTGCAATCATGTAACTATACCTTTTAGTCTGGCATTACATATACTAAGTGACATATAAATCCGAACACCCAGTTTAAATGGTTTTATTTTAATAAAATTTTGTATAAGTACTTAATGAAGCATAATAAGTAAATGATAAAAATTTCAAAATGATTGCACTGCTTCAAAGCCCTTTGACCTTTAATAATGTGTGGATGCACCCTGATGTGCTACGCATTCTCCAACGCGCCTAGGCATGCTTCTGATCAGGTGGTCAATGTCCTCCTGTGGTATCTCATTCCAGGCAACCTCCAACTCCTCTCGAAGTGCTTCTAGAGTCTGAGGAGGACGTTGCAAATTGAGCAATCTCCTACCCATCATATCCCACACGTGCTCAATTGGGGATAAGTCGGGAGATCTTGGTGGCCATGGTAACAATGTGACATCATTATGTTGAAAGAAGTCTATTGCGACTCTTGCAACATGTGGTCGGGCATTATCTTGTTGGAAAGTTGGATCTGCCATGGTGTCAAGATAGGGTAAAAGATGGGGTTCTAGAACTTCGTGGATATAACGCTGCGCGTTCATGTTACCTCTGATGAAGATTAAAGGTGACCTGGAACCATAAGCTATAGCACCCCAAACCATAACTCCAACAGTGTGATGAACATGTCTTTCAACAGAAAACTGTGGATTCCTCCTTTCACCACGTCGCCTTCTAACCCTGGCACGACCATCGTGCATGACTAAACAAAATCGAGACTCGTCACTAAAGACAATACTGTTCCATTCCTGATCCCAGAGTGACCGTTGTCTGCACCACTCAAGGCGATTACGTCGGTGTTCTCGAGTTAAAGGGAGGACCCAGTGTGGCCGGTATGAAAACAAGCCAAAACTTCTCATTCGTCGGTAAATACTTCGCATGCCAATAGGTCTTCCGTGTTCTGCAAACCATTCATTTGCAATGGACCTGGTAGTGGAGAAACGGTCCCTTAAGGCCAATAATCTTAGGCGGCGATCTTCACGGTCTGTTGTTCTACGGCGGCGTCCAGTGCCCCTTGCTCTTTGCGTACGGCCATGCCTGACAACACCAAACCACAGTGTCTACACTTCTTTGCACTCTAACTGCAATTGCCCGAAAAGAAAGTCCAGCTTCCCGAAGTCCCACTATACGGCCCCTATCAAACTCACTAAGTTGACGAAATCGTACAGGTCTCCGTACTCTAGGCATCGTAACCGATCGTAAAGGATGTCAAGAACCAAAATCCGCCAACGTTGATTCTTTACTGCGGCTGAAATATTCATTTTTAGAGCGTTCATGAATTAAAAAAAGCAGTATAAAAACGGGAATGTCCAACTGATAAGGCTGAAAATTTTTTCACTTGTTATTTACAGTAAGATAAATACATTCACCAACTTTTATTAAAATAAAACCATTTAAACTGGGTGTGCGGATTTATATGTCACTTAGTATAAATGATATTGGAGTTGCTGGGAACATTATTTCAATATTCTTTTATTAAAGCCAGAATCGTAGGATAACAGGGTTACAACAGTATATAGATCAAATACATACTCAAGATGGGTTAATGAAAAAATAAGCGAAGTCATCTAGTTAGAACACAGCTTACCGGCAACCAGCGCCAATCGGTACCGAATTTCGGCGCTGGTCATGGACACAGTGCTGACGAGGAAAAAGCAAATAAAACCAGCCTCTTATCAGTTCCAGCGCCATCTTCGCGTTAACATGGGGTCTAGCTCATCTAGAGATTAATTTATTGCATTGGACAGGTCTGTAACTAAGATAATCAGTAGAAAGAAAGTTGGTATTCACCTCATAAATAGTGGGAGGGTACATTATGGTGAGTATCATTATTTGTTCAAGGCGGTGAAAGATGACCCCGACAGCTTTTTTCAGTAAACCAGAATGAATCATGAAAGATTATATCCTGGAAAAAGTTTAACACCTTCTAACTAATAATTGGTGTAACCTCCACAGTCTTAACTAAATGTCTATATCGATTATCCACATCAACTTGCTCTGACAACCGGTGAGAAAGAACTAAATAATCGTTCCAGCAAAACCGCCAACGCCGACTGCCTGTGCCGACAAGCCTCAGCCTGCCTCTATTGTATTATTGCCAACTCAAGAACATGATATTATTATAGAAGCTTATGGGCGCCAATCGGCGCTGGTTGCCGGTAAGCAGAAAACCGACTTCCACTGTGTTTTCGCCCTTAGAAAATATCTACACGTAATCTACTGATCCGTCTAATGATATCATGCTTCCCTAAAGGCACAGAAGCATAAAAATGAGAGTAACACTCACGAATTCAGGGAATACACTGAAGCGCTGAACAAACGTGTACATTTTTCAACATGTGCAGAGAAGGTACAATCTTCGCGCAGTCTGAAAAGCTCTTCATAAATGACAAAATTAGACGTCAACGGTCAGCAAGACAGGCCAGCATCAAAACAACCGTTTGAAACCGCTTAGAGCCATGAAACGGTAGAAATTTTGGAAGTTCATTGTCACTTTAAGACGTTGTCAAATTGTGGGGACTTGAACCTTTAAGACCCTGATAAAGGTTGTAGGCTATATAATATCAAAAAACCGACGAAATGTCAACTTGCTGACTAGATATCTGTTAGTTTGAAAATAGTTCGTACCGTTGTTGCTCTCTGTGAGCGTCACCCATACCCCCAACTGATAAGGCTGAAAATTTTTTCACTTGTTATTTACAGTAAGATAAATACATTCACCAACTTTTATTAAAATAAAACCATTTAAACTGGGTATTCGGATATACAGGGTGACTTCGAAGTTGAGTCATTTATTTTAACAGTGAGTAGATCTGATCAAAAGAAATGTTTTTTTCCTTTACCATTTTTCTGGTAAAATTAAAGTAACAAAGTTATAGCCCTTTGGAAGTTTGAGTACCGCCCTGTCTCAATAATAATATCATGTACTCGTGTTTGGCAACAACGGATATAATCCGCCTTACCGGTTCATCGCATCGGAAACAAAAAAGCGAAAGAATTTGGAACGATGTTTTTGCAATGAAGTATTTTATTCAGTTCAGTTATACATACAGTCAGTATCTGTCGGTTAGCGTGTTAATAGTGTCTGTTGCGTGGCTCAAACGAAATAAAAAATGGCACATGTTTATGCGGATCGGTTTCCCAATCGAGTGCAACCAACCCCTCGTGCCTTTGTTAATGTAGTACAACGGGCTCGTGAATCAGGTGACTTAAGACCTCACAGGGGACCTCACGATCAAATACAGGTCCGCACTGAAATACTTGTCGGGAGGATACTTTTTAAAACAAGGTAAAATTTTTTTTTTACTTTTTTTTTATTTTTACACACATATTCTGGTTTATCTTCCTTCTACAATCATTATCTGAAAATTAATGACTCAACTTCAAAGTCACCCTGTATATGTCACTTAGTATATTTTGGAAAGTGATGCAATATCGTTTTTTTTCTTGACATCTTGTAGGTTCTTTGGCACATAACGTAGGTTTTCCTATGAGAAGTCAATTTGAAACTAGTTGTTTTTCTTTTGACGTTCTCTCGTCTAAACGTCATGACGTTTGAGCTATCACGATTTTGTTAAATGGCAGTGCATAGGTGCTTAGTCAGAATTTGTGTGCTAATAAATATTGGGGGCTGCATGGAAGAGCAACGGTGTTGAATGCCGCCTCCCTCATAAAACGAGTTTTTTTTGTTTGTTCTTTTAACCTAAAAAATAATCTGTCTTGATGATAATTAACTTGGTTTCTGACCTGGGATGTATTCAAAGCTAGAAATTAGTTGAGCATCTGCTTTTTCTCATTCATCCTGCTAATACAAATGTAAATTTGATGAAATTCAAACAAGGGAGAATTAAAAAAAACCTGGTTGGTGGAGTATAATTACAACCAGCGTATGAGAAAATAGGCTACAGAGAGGAATATTTATGAAACGTGAAAAGGTTATTACATTTTACATAATTTTTTTTTCAGTCATTTAAATCTTATAGAAGTCTGTGTTGCGATGCCAAGTAGAAAATGGTCAGCACCTAGAGGTGAGGCACTGCGAAAATGTTTTGTGTGTGATGCGCCATTTCTAATTTTTCTATGATGTGGATTAATTACACACAATGTGGGCCCGGTAGTAGATTTTCCGTAATGCTTCTCAAAGTATTTGAAAACAAAAAAAAATAACAGAGAAAACCCTTGTTTATAGCTTTGAACATACCTCTTTCCAGAAAGAACATCACATAAATACTCCGTCTGGCTCATCTAATGGATATACTTCAAGGGGAGCATATTCAGTGATAATTTTCTCACATAGCAAATATCACTGATTTTCTACAAAGGTAGTCCAATGCACACAAACATCACACAATCAGCCAGATCCGCACGGGCATTACGTATCTTGAAAAGTGACATTGCTGTTTTTTTGACATTATGTAGGTTTTTCGCCAAGACGTTAACTTAGCACTTAGTTTTACGTGTTGCCTAAACGTCATAAGGCTTGTTGTCAATCTTTGGCTCTGATGTGATGTAAAATCTGCTTCTGAGATGGCATTACTGGAGGTCTAAGCAGTAAGTTGTATGTGTTGATGATAATTATATTGGTTTCTTGTCTCAAATACTCTTAATTGAGATTCAAAGCTAGAAATTAGTTGCGCATCCACTTTTACTTGTCCATTCTGGAAATTACATATACAAATTTGCTGAATTTCAGAAATGAGAGAGATAAGAAATAATTATATTCACTGTACACTGTCGAATTACAAGCCATATACATGCTAACAGTAATTACACACAACGCGGGCGCGGTGATGATTTCCCGTAATTCTCCTCCGTTTTTCGTAATTTATAACTTTGAACATAACCTCTCTTCAGAAAGCACAACATATAAATAACCCGTCATACCCAGCATATAAATATCACTGATTTTATACACATGCAGACCAATACACATAATCATCCAGATGCGATCTTGTTATTCAACCAACTTTCTTCTCAGAGATAAAAACTACAAACGCGGATCACTCAGCTTCACAAAACTATGCAACCAATAATGCGTGTAGTTTAGTTGAGTGATGCCTTCATAGATGGACGTTCACAACGATCCTAGTGAGCAAACGTGGAATGACTGTTTGTGCCCTAAAAACTACCTAGTCTGCAAGTTGACATCATAGTCTTTTTTGTAGTTTTTCAGGTTTTTTACATGATACCCGCGCCGTTCTTGCTTCTCAGAAATATACTTTACAGACTATCTCAACATTATGCAACCAACAAAGTATACTGTCGAATTGATTTGCAGAATTGTCGTTGAGTCATTCCTCAATAGGTGACGCTATGGGTGACGCTCACAGAGAGCAACAGCGGTAGAAACTATTTGCAAACTAACATATATATCTAGTCAGCAAGTCGACATTTTGTCGGTTTTTTGATATTAAACAGGCGTTTTACGTAATAGCCTACAACCTTTATCAGGGTCTTAAAGGTTCAAGTCCCCATAATTTGGCCACGTCTTAAAGTGACAATGAACCTCCAAAAGTTCTACCGTGTTTCAAACGGCCTGTCTTGCTGACAGTTGACATCTAATTTTGTCATTTATGAAGAGCTTTGCAAATTGTGCGAAGATTGTACCTTCTCTGCACATGTTTGAAAAATGTACACGTTTGTTCAGCGCTTCAGTGTATCCCCTAAATTCGTGAGTGTTACTCTCAATTTTATGCATCTGTGCCTTTAGGGAAGCATGATATCATTAGACGAATCAGTAGATTACATGTAGATATTTTCTAAGGGCGAAAACACAGTGGAAGTCGGTTTCCTGCTTACCGGCAACCAGCGCCAATTGGCGCCCATAAGCTTCTATAATAATATCATGTCCTTGAGTTAGCAATAATACAATAGAGGCAGGCTCAGGCTTGTCGGCACAGGCAGTCGGCGTTATCGGTTTTGCTGGAACGATTATTTAGTTCTTTCTCACCGGTTGTCAGAGCAAGTTGATGTGGATAATCGATATAGACAATTTAGGTAAGACTGTGGAGGTTACACCAATTTATAGTTAGAAGGTGTTAAACTTTTTTCAAGATATAATCTTTCATGATTCATTCTGGTTTACTGAAAAAAGCTGTCGGTGTCACCTTTCACCGCCTTGAACAAATAATGATACTCACCATAATGTACCCTCCCACGATTTGTGAGGTGAATACCAACTTTCTTTCTAGTGATTATTTTAGTTACAGACCTGTCCAATCCAATAAATTAATCTCTAGATGAGCTAGACCCCATGTTAACGCGAAGACGGCGCTGGAACTGATAAGAGTTTTATTTGCTTTTTCCTCGTCAGCACTGTGTCCATGACCAGCGCCGAAATTCGGTACCGATTGGCGCTGGTTGCCGGTAAGCTGGAAACCAGCTTCCACTGTGTTCTAACTAGATGACTTCGCTTATTTTTTCATTAACCCATCTTGTGTATGCATTTGATCTATATACTGTTGTTATCCTACGATTCTGGCTTTAACAAAAGAGTGAATATTGAAATAATGTTCCCAGCAACTCCAATATCATTTATCTGTGTTGAAAAGTGCCAGTTAGAATTCGTAAATTGTAAACTAGAGTATTCCTCGTCTATGTCAAGTGGGTGTGTATAACGATAATTTTCTTTGTCATGGTGCAAGTGCAAAATGCCTTTCATCTGTGCTATTTTAACCATTCATAGCGTATGGAATAGCTAACGAGTATGAATATGGATATGTTTCAAATTAAATTTGCATCTCGTGGCCGTAGAACACGGGACAAAGCAGAACAGCAGTGCCCTGTAGGATTTTTGAAATCCTGGATAAAAGAGATTTCTGGCAACATGTAGCCTTCCACAAACGCAAATCTGACTTGTATGAAGGAAAAATATCATGATTTTTTGGGCAATTTTCCGGCATAATAGAGCTTAGTAAATCTAGTATTCGTTTGAGTATATAAAAAGTTCTGAGCTCTATCAGCGAGGTTCAGATCTTTTGCTAGCATTCTGAATCTATTTTCTATAATCTAGTACTGAATAGAAACAATGACACTACTTAATTTTTATTATTTTATTGTTGGATACTTTGCAACTATCAGTTTTAGAGATATGGTGAGGATCGTACAATCATTAAGTATTGTATATGAGGAATTCGGCTACATCCCTTAGACTACTGAAGAAGGTGATAATAATATCCAACTAAGTTTTCCTTACGATAATCATATGTGAAAAGCCAAGCCAGCTTTTTCTATAGAACTATTTTGCTAAGGTCTCCTACCTATTTATTTGATAGGACTTCATTTTGTAGTGACGTATATACGTATATATAGTATAAATGCAAAATCTACGGGTATACACCCTACGGAAATCAAAAATCCACCTTTTGTTAGCCTACCAAGCATGATTAAAAATTGCTTCAAAGCAAAC